GTCCTCGTACAGCTGAAGTCCCGTCACAGCTGTCCCCACTGGTTACAAACATCCCCACAGGTGTGTCCTGGACCCCGACCCTGGTCCTCACTGTAGTTCTGCAGACTTATGAGGACACACTGATCCTTGTAATCATGAGGACCTGCTGTTTGCACTCTACACCTGTGCAGGTGATACTCTTTTTGTTTCTCAGGTCTTCGTGGCACGAAGATGACCTCACCAACCACGACCCCGACTCCAAGGTGAGACAGCAACATTAATAATACCTGATTCTGTCAAATAAATAAAAACTCTGTCACTTTAACTCTGACTGGGGCAACAGCGCCCCCTGTGGTTATGGTTAATTTACACAGGTAATAAATTAAGGGCACATTCGACTTCCTGTGTGAACATGATGAAAATGATGGAGAGGTTTCTGGAACGACGTGTTGAACACAGAAACGAGAGGTCCTCGTTGGTCCAGGACTTATTCTGGTGCTCTAATCTGCGCTAATCTCACTCTCTCTCTCTTTGTTTGTGTCTGTGTCTCTCGACCTCGTTTTATTGCGCATTAATCTGATTTAATCTCTCTGCCTCTGTGTCCTGGTTTCTGTTTGTCACCCATCAACCTACTGTCTGTCTCCCCCTCCACCTGTCTCCCTCTCCACCTGTCTCCCCCTCTACATGTCTCCCCCTCCACCTGTCCAGTGTTTTGCCGTGCGCTCCCTCGGCTGGCTGCAGGTGGAGGAGGAGGACCTTTCTCCTGGTCGCAGCAGCCTCGCTGTTAGTAACGTCATCCAGCAGCTGTCTCACTGCAGCAGCCCCGAGCAGAGAGAGCGGCTGGGTGCCTGGGGGGAGGTGAGACACCTGCTGCCCTCCTGTGGCAGGATGCAGGAAGTGCACGTGTGTCCTGTGGAACCTGTTCATCACCTGTCCATCCACCTGTCTGTCTGCAGGGCCGCGAGATGATGCTAGTTCTGAAAAAAGACACCCTGACCCTGTTGGACCCATTAGACCACACCCCCCTGCACTGTCAGCCAATCATCAATATCCGTGTTTGGGGGGTGGGCTGCAACAATGGCAGGTGAGCCAATCAGAGAGCGTATTTCCCCGCTTCCTGTGTTTGTGCTTCGCTGAGCTGAACTCCTGGTTTGTGCTCCTGCATGCTTCGGTTTGTTTACACTAACTCT